AAGGGACATTGGAGTCTCTGGGTCTACCTACTCTGACTTGTTGTTGTTTAGCACGCGAAGTGGGTAAGGGTTTCGGGTTGAAAGCACCATAGCCGTGGATGTACTGGACCCTGCTTGGCCAGCATGCGGCACTTCAACAGAGACCGTTACGGACCTGGGGGCAGAAATGCACCTCTGAGGCCCTCCGGCTCAGAGGTCGGCTTGGACTTTAGGGCTTAAGGAGTACTGCGATGTCCAAGACCGTTGACTGCAACGTCTTGAAACCCTGAAATCCTTGAATGCTGCGAAATCTCCTGGAGCCCTGAAACCTTCGAGTATTGCTTGGAGATCAAGCAGTAGCATTCAGGGATCAGGGCTGAGGGTTTCAAGATTCTGGGAACTCGAAGCCTAAAGCCCAACATCCTAAAGCCTTGGGGCCTCAGTCTTTTGGTGTGGTAACAAGCAGAATCATCACAATAGTAATATGGTTATTTTCATAATTAGTGCTACTAAATATACAAAAAAAAAGTACGGAGAATACACACACGATGGCAATCGTCCTAGGCTCGGTAGCAGAGAACCCTCTCGGCCTCAGGGCCATGGCAGGTGATCGCCATGGTGGCGAAGAAGTTCGAGGAGCATGGGCTGGCTATTCCTGCAGACAGGCAGGCGTTTCGGTGCTGCTCTTGTTGAGGGGGTGCGCTTCGGTGCGATTTAGGAGTTTCGGTGTATGGGCGTCGGGTTGAGCTATTACGTAGGCTTCAGGCTTTCCCTCAGCCCGTTTCCCGCGGTCGCGGTGGGTCGCACGGGGTTCGGGGGTTTAGGAATTCCCCCCTACCTATAGTCTCCAATGTAGTNNTGGCTTAACCAAACTTATATTAAGGATCCTAAAAGGTAACCCCCAAAAGGAACTACAATGGAGACTAATTATAGGTAAATCCCAACCTTCAAGTCCCAAGCTGTTGCTTGGTGCCGTCAGGGTGCGAATCGTGATCCAGTGTCTCGAGGCCGTGGAGCGATCTTGAGGAGTTAGGACTTATGTTTTTACTTTTTGTTCTTCTGGTTGGCTCTTAGGACTTTAACTTTTTGGGGTTCTAGATGAACCAAAATAAGGAGACTAAAAGTTTAACTTTGTTTGCAGGGGTTCAGAAGTCAGCCAAGGTGGTAGTTGAGAGCTGAGGATTTACGATGTCCGCATGGTTTCGGATATAGCCTAAACCCTAAACCCTAAACCCTAAACCCTAAACCCTAAACCCTAAATCCGTTCTAAGTATTAAGGCCCCCATGTTAGGGACCCTAGTACAGCAGCCTTCAGCGCGGAGTATGAATCGGGGGCTTGCATGAAGCCTGCTGGGATCCACGACGAAAGCCTAGGAAAGTTAAGCAGCTTTATGTAGGCTACCTGTAGTCTCCATTGTAGTTCCTTTTCGGGGATACCTTATAGAATCCTATACTATAGAATTGGGTAAACCGAAAAAGGAACTACAATGGAGACTATAGGTAAAACCTAGATCCTTAACTTGTGTGCTTCATTCATCCCGAAGCCCGAGCCCCTGCACCCCAAAACTCCGCCAGCCTTCTATCGCTGCAGCCCTTCGCTGGGTCTACTCACCTCACCTTTACGCTTGGCAGCTTGAAGTTGCGTCGGGTGTGTGTTTACATCTTAGGAATCGGATTCCTTGCCTGCAAGTGCTCGAGGCTCAGTCGGTCACAAAATTGCCTCGATCCGAGCCCGGACGATGATCCGAATCTTCGCGAGTCTTTTGATCTTATGCTCCAGTGCAGCTGCTGCGGCGGACTTCTGCGAGGCCGACCAAAGCCAGCTTCTGCAACGGCAGCGAGCCAGGAGTACGCTCAAGGCAGACGATGTCCCCTATACATTGCACGACTTGGGGGGCAAATCCGTGTACCTCGTCATGACCGATCGTTTCTCTCGCTTCGGCGGGGTGAGCCAGAACGACTCAAACCCATGCACTGGCAATAACTGGTGCAACGGCACCCTGAAAGGAATTACCAGCCAGCTGGAGTACATCAGGGATATGGGTTTTGAGTGTATCTGGGTCACTCCGGTTGTCTTGAACTTCTATGGTCCGGACGGGCCCAGTGGATATGGCTACCATGGTTATTGGGCGCAGGATTACTACCAGATAGACCCCAACTTCGGCACCAAGGAAGACTTGAAAGAGCTTGTAGAGCAGACCCACAACCTGGGGATGTGCTTCATCCTTGACATCGTCTTGAATCACTGCCGCCCCGTTCACAGTGAGCAAGACTTGAGTGAAGTCAACCCCTTCAACGAGACGTCGTACGTCCATCAGCTGAACATTAGCAACCTCACCTTCGATCAGTACACTGAGAAGACGCTGGGCACCAGAGTCATTCCTTACCATACGTACATGGGAGTACATGCTCATTATGTACGTGCATCTGTGTTTCATATACACTGATGCATGTACGTGTTCATATGCATGCTTGTCTCTTCAACTTGTACCTTGCCCCGAAGTTATGCGATTATAGTGACCGCTGAGTGAGCAGCACGACCGCCTTGAGCGGGAATTTCCGAAAGTTGAAGCCGAGGATGTTGGGGTGGCCTTCGCCAGCACAGGCCTTGGGACCAGGAGCGCAATGTGAACTGCAGTTCTTCCCCAATGGCACACCCGAAGCTTGCTTCGTGTTCCGATCTGCCGGCTTTAGTCATCTCATAAGTTTGTTGGTTCCTTATCGCTTCGTGGTGTTTAGTGGAGTAAGGACAGCACGAACAATGGCACCTACTGCAACAACTATCCAGGAAATGTGTACAATGCTCAGACCTACCTGGGAGATAGGGCTCATGGCCCTCCAGACTTGAAGTTTTGCGGGGCAGGGAATTACAACTGTCGCGGCTACAACGAGACCGTGAACATCATCGGCTGGTTCTACGATCTCGCGGACTTGAACCAGACGGTTCCTTTCGTACGGCAGGGCTTGAAGGATTGGGTGATGTACATGGCCTCGGCCTCGGCATATTCTGATCAAAGCTTGGGCCACATGACTCGCAGTAGGCTCTTGGGGAGTGCCTTTTAGGGGACCTTTTCCAACCATCATCTCCGATTAGGGTTTTGGGCTGAGATACAACTCCTTATCAGAGTCGTACTCGTTTTCGTTTTAGTGGTCGTCGTCGTAGTCGTAGTCGCCTTCGAAGGCGTGATCGTAGTCGTGGTCGTCATCGTAGTCGTCGTCGTCGTCGTCGTCGTCGTAGTAGTAGTAGTAGTAGTAGTAGAGTCGGCGTGTTGGCGGTGCTGGTGGTGGCGGTGGCGGTGGAGGAGGTGGAGGCGGCCGAGGTGGTGGCGGATGTAGTAGCCGTCGCGACTAGCACTATGTACTACGATCTTGCACGTTTAGCAGTGGAGTGGCGCTGGCACTAGCACTACCATCCCACCCACACATAAAATGACCTTATAAACCCTAAGTTAGATTAACCGGTGGTTTGTTTAAGGAGGGGTTTCTGTCCCAGCCAGGGTGGTCTCCAAGACCTTTACGCGGATCTCAGGATCTTTATAAGCCCATTCGGTGTTTTAGCTGCAGCGGAGTTCTTCGGAACGGTTCCGACGGTTTGGAAGGGTTCCTACCTGTTTGGCGGTGTTGCTGGCAATGGTTCCGGAGATTTCGCCAACAGTTCCTAAGAGTTTGAAAATGCTTCCACAGCCCCACTCACAGGCAAACAGACCGCCAGTAGCTCCAAACCCTAAGCCCTAAACAGTAGCACTGACACTGGCGCTGGCGCTGGCACTGCTTGGCGTTGTTTGGGGTCTGCCGGGCTCAGGGGCCCGGCACCAGGCCCCGAACAAAAGAAGCAGAAGCCATTCAGCGTTAGGGTTTAGGGTTACCTAAGGATGGAAGGTACAGGTGTTATGGGTTTTATTGTTTTGGGATAAGGCAGCTGGATGATGCAGGGTGTGGGGGGTTTAGGCTCGGCTTACGTGGTTCCCAACAAGCAAGCATACCACTTCCAGGTCACTCCCACCACCATCAGTGTTACAACTTCTTATGCGCTTGGTTTTGTTTGTTTTGCCACTACCCCACACGGCTTGCAGCCCGTTATGGTCGCTGCATAGGTTTCGGGTGTATAGGATGCTTGTTCGTCCCTTGCTTTTCCTCAAAGGTTTCAGTCTTGAGCTTAATTGTTTCGAACATGTACGCGATCACTCCGAAGTCGTGTTGGGTGTCTGGGCTTAGCCTAGCAGCTAGGCACTTATTTGGATGAAGATGTCCAGGTCACGGAGTATGCAGTAGATGGCATTCGACTGGACACAACGCCTTACATGACGCACGAGTTCCTGCAGGAGGTTCAGGACGCTTCAACATTGCCTAAGGCTTGTTTCCTTACGAAGTGTGGGGGAACATTCTCCGTTGGGGAGTTTAAGACAAGAAGGGCCAGGACTCCCGAACAAGACCTCGAAATTTCAGATGCCACTGTTAGTAGCGTTGCTTTAAAATTCGGGAGTTTCGGGGACTCGAGACTGTAGGTACTGCGCTCTGGAAGGCTCATCCGTCGCTGTTACCCCGGAGCTAGTTGAGGCCGACATCAGGAAAGCATACAGCCCGAACGCGTTCAGCTGAGGGAGTCCCGCGGAAGAAGCAGCCTTTGCCCCTAAACCCGAAACCCTAAACCCGTTAAACCNNAACCAAAAACCCCAAACCCTAAACCATTGCAGAAGCTATAGGTGAGTCCAGGCCATGCAGTCAAGCATTCAGGATTCCAGGCCATTCAGCTTGGTACTCACGTGCCCATGCAAGTGTCTGAAAATACTGGGCACTTAACTACACCCTCTAAACAGCGAGGTTCTTGCTACAAGGATCC